AGCACATTATTTCAAGATAAAAGATTAAAAGGGCAAGAAAACAAAATTCAATCTTATTGATAGCGGGATTGCTGCTAACGATCCGGTAAATATCTTACACTAATCAATATTTTTCTTATAGAAATAAAATTTCTATGACAATATAAGCCGAAATTCAAGAATAGATTATTAATTTTTTTTTTATGAATTTCCTTTGCATGCAGTGTTTCATAGCAATAGCTGAAATAATAAGGATGAAGATGGATGAAGAAAATAATAGTATTTTTCATCGAAGTTCAAAAGAAGAAGGTCGATTTCTAGTTTTGTCTCTAGGAACTGGTTCGGCACAAGTTCATAAGTATGACGCCAAAAAAGCATCAAAGTGGAGTATTTTGAGATGGTTGAAAAATCGTAAATCGAACCCTTTGTTGGATGTAATTTTTCAAGCTATACAACACATCACTAATTACTACGGTTCCACTTTTGTTGGAGCCCTTCACTCTAGTGGAAAATTTCTAAGAATCCAGGTAATCAATTCTTCTTCAATTCCGATCGCTCGATCAAGTTTAAAAGTTTAGATTTAGTTTATTCACAATGTATAGTATCATTCTAATCAATTATAAATATTTATAATTTTTCAGGACGAGACTTTAGTCGGTGTAACAACGTCTGTGGACGTCGCAACAAAGAAGAATTTGAAGAATCTCGTCAAAGTTGGAGAGAACTTGCTAAAAAAGCCAACTTCAATACTGGATTTGCGTACTGGAAAATATGTTCCATCTGCTGATCAAGGAACAAACGAGGAGGCACTTATTCGGTTAGCATCAATACTTTCCAAAGAGAAACGGCTACGTGGGGATTTTGCTAGGAAAAGAGAATCATCCGACTGGAACGATTTTCTCGAACGTTGGGGGATAGATTCATCAACTGACTATTTTTTTGAGCAAAGTTGATGTCATTCCCTAGTCTCTACTGGTATTTATTTAATTTAATTTTTTTTTAATTATTTATTTATAATGAAAGATCTCTATGATTGTATGTATATATTTTCATAATTCAATACAACTTATGTTTATAATTCATTTTACAGACTTTTACATTTAAATATATCAATACAATGAAATATATAATAAATATTTGGAGTATAAATTTATTTGTATTTTGGAGCAAACAAACCAGGGCATTGTAGTTAAATAAATTAATATATTGAGATAATTTATTTTTTGAATTATGTTATCAATATATTATTTAATGAATTTCTTAATTTGTGTTTTTCCTAAAAAAAAAAAAAAGATTATTATTAAATATTTTTTATATAATTGATAAAAAAAAAATGTATAAGAAGCGAAATTAGAGTAACGAATTTGTTGAAGTTGCTAAAAGACAGATCCCACTAAGAAGTAACGATTGAAATTACACTTCTTCCCTTTACTCCTTCGCCACCAATCAGCGCCGCCGGTCGGCACTGCAAAACTCTCCGCCACCAATCAGCGCCGCCGCAGCTGACGTCATTAAATGGCGACGGGAAGAATTACCAGGTCTGGAATTTCCTCTTCGGCGGCTACTCCTACCAAAACCAATGGGTAAAAACAAGGAACTAAAAAATATCTTCTCTTAATTTTATTTTTGCTGCAAATTGAGCATTAATTTATTTATTTTTTTCTAAAAAATTGTCCAGGAAATTGGCTGTGACAGTGCAATCTGGTAGAAAGAGAAAGTCTGCAAGGAAGGTCAAAACCACTACGAAGAAAATCGCAGCGAAAATGGATGCTTTGAAACCTAAGAAGCCTCCCACAGCTTTCTTCTACTTTCTGTATATGCCTTCTGCTCTTCACTTTTGTTTATTCATCGGTTCAAATTTTACTTTTCTTAATCGAAAGTTTTCGTTTCGATTCACATTGTTAGTTCCTGTTGAATATTTAGCAAGTTACTGTTAAACACTTAAACTTAAGATTTTTCACCCAATTTAAACATCATGATTTTCCTTGATTATTTTTTTGAATTCCTAATAATTGTGATTGCGTTTCAATTTCAACGGTAAAAGTGCGTGAGTCAGAGCAGAATGATTACTTTTTTCGGCTTTTGCTAAGTTTAAATTTCCAGAGGACTAGTTAACTGTTGATACACATGAATAACTGTACTCTTTGATTTCAAAATTTTGCAGGGAAGATTTTCGTAAGGAATATCAAGAGCAGAATCCGGATGTTAAGTCAATGCGAGATGTATGTAGCAGGGAAACCTGATTAATGGTCTACCTACATCACTCCCTTTTTTTTCGTAAGTACCGATTATGGATGGTTATCCCTGTATTCAGCGTTCATCTGTTGTTGCAGGTTGGCAAAGCATGTGGAGAGAAGTGGAAGACAATGACATACGAGGTTTGAATTCACTCTGCACTAAAACATGGCTGAATATCTTGTTGAAATTTATACTGCCTTTTCTATCGTTGTCATCTCGAATGCTGAAGCAAAAATTTGTTGGAAACAATGGATGATCGATAGCTTTATGATTGTAACAAATGGTGCAATTAATGACTGATTTAATATCGTTTGACGGAAACTTATGCTCGCGTACAACTGTTATTATCCCTCACACTGTTCGGGCCATTGAAAACAAAACATTAGATTAATACCCGAAAATAAAAAAACATGGGTTGTAGGTGGGGCAAAGAAAGGAGAGATGAACGAAATCTCTTGATTTTAGGGTTAGATACACTGACTGGATTCTTGTTCAGGATATTGTCTTGTAGTTTACCGATTGGCTAATTTCAGGGTGGCAGTGACTATAAATGAATAAGGATTTTTTTTCTTTTTCTTTATTTTTTTATTTGTTATGATAATGACTATTCTTCAAAAATACATAGTACAATTCCCCATACTCCGACATTTTCGTACCCGACACAACGAGAAGTATTAGGGTTTTCTATAAATATTCCTCTGAAATACATACCATGTATGATGAAACTGTAGTTGATTCCTCATATAGTCTGATATTGTACGTTGCTGATCTTAGGAAAAGGTGCATTACTATGATATCGCCACAGAAAAACGAGCAGACTTTGATACAGCTATGGCAGACTTCATTAAAAGAAAGGTAAATCTTCCTTGCAAAATGTATCTTTTCTCATCGTATCGTTATTCTACATTCAATAATGGTAAACAATAGAATGCCGAGAAAACGGAAAATATAGTCTATTGGCATACCGTTTTTTTCCCCTCTCACGAGATAAACCAATTTTGCAGGAAAATGGGGAGTTCGATGAAGATGATTCAGACTTTGATGACGACTCAGAGTTCGATGGGTAAAACTGCAACGTTTTAGGTGTAGTGTGTGTGTAGCTGTAGATGCCATTACCTCTTTCAACTATGTATTTGTATCATTTCTTGTGCATTACCCCCCTCCAAGTTATTGTTAGGGATTTCAGAAACAAGTAGTTAATTAATTTTTAGTAATTTTGAAACCATTTTCGTATACATAATTTGGGGGGTGGGGTGGGGGTGGGGGGTGGTGAATTTACATATACTTATAATATCCCCCACATAAAATGGGAAACCATCAAATAGAAGCAATGACATGGTCAAATCATGGTCACACAAAGAATAACCAGTTTTCCTATTTTCTCCCATATTCACCATCTATTCATTCCCCTTCAAAAAAAAAGTAGAAAAAGAAAACTTGTTTCCTCTGATCGAAAGAAGCCAGGGAGGTTTCCACCCCTGGGCAGGTTGAGGAAGAAGAGAAGACTGAGGCGGAGGTACATGAGGCGGCAGCAATGGCGGTACTACCAACGACAGAATATATTGCCGACCTCAACAAAACCATAATGTGCTACGCGGAAACAATTTACAGGTTCAACGGGCTTTGGGAAGGACCAGACCCTTTGACCCCCCTCATTTCTCTCTTCCTCATCCAGCTTACTTTCTCCATGAGCGTCATTCATCTTCTCGTTTTCGCCCTTAAACCCTTCAACCAGCCACCTTTCGTTGCAGAAATTATCGTAAGTTTCTCCATTGCATGCATAATAATTTTAGGTTTCTTGAAAAGAACATTGTTAAACAATGAAAAAATGGCGAAATTCGATTTCAGATGATATTTGATTTGTTCTTGCAGGGTGGTATTACTCCTTGGACCATCTGTATTGGGGAGAATTACATCATACAGAAAACTAATATTCCCAAATTACTCCTTTAAAATGTTGGAGCCAATGGCACATCTGTCAATATCATACTACGCATTCCTAGTCGGTCTAAAAATGGACGTAAAATCAATCCTTCGCACAGGGCCAAAAGCCATGAAAGTATCCATAGCAGGAACCATAATCCCATTCTCTCTAGGCTCTGGCCTATACTTCATCTTCGGCCCCAAAGAGGACGAGAAACTGGGCTTCCTTTTCTGGGGCGCTTCTCTTACAGTCACAGGCTTTTCGGTCCTAACCAAAATCCTAGACAAGCAGCAAATCCTCCACACCGAGATCGGAAAGACAGCTGTCGCCGCCGCCCTCATTAACGACCTGTCAGCGTGGGGTTTCTTGGCGCTCGCTTTCGCAGTAACAAGTTCCAAATCGGACATTCAGTGGGCGATAATCTGCACAATAGCGTTCACACTCGTGTGCGTGTACTACGTGAGGCCAGCGCTGAGCTGGATCATCCGGAAGACTCCGGAAGGTCAGGGGTACAGCGAGTTTTACATATGCTCGATCCTGACAGGGATGGCGCTCGGTGGGGTCGTCACGGATTTGTGTGGGACCCACCCGATGATAGGTGCGTTCATATTCGGGCTTGTGATACCAAACGAGGTGCTAGAGGCGACCATGGTGGACAAGCTGGAGGACTTTGTGATAGGGATATTGATGCCTGTTTACTTTGTGGTTTGTGGGCTTAGGACAAATATTGATGTTATCTCGAACGACACTAGTTGGGTTGTTGTGGGATTGGTTATAGTTTTGGCTTGCTCAGTTAAGGTGCTTAGCGCTCTTGCTGTAACCTTATTCTCGGATCTTACGGTGTCCGAGGCGGTCCCCGTTGGGTTGTTGAGCAATGCCAAGAGTGTCATGGTGTTGATCATTCTAGAAGCTGGCCAGCTACAAAAGGTAAAACAAATATCAGGAATATGAACATGTGTATATGTCTATATATATATATATATATATATATATATATATATATATATATATATATATATATATATATATATATATATATATATATATATATATATATGTATGTGAGTGTGTGACATAAATCGGATATGTCAGATCGGAATAACACTCTCGGATTAAAAAAATATGATTTTTTCCGAAGTGAAAAACTAATTCCAATTCCTTTCGAAAAGAAAATGGGAAAAATCAGAAATTGGGATGAAAAAACTTGTTCCGTAATCGGAATTGGCGGGGTATTCGGAAAATGATGTCATGTCACGAATTCTGCCGATCCCGTTCTGGAATTTTTCATTCCAATTTCTCCATTTTTTTTTGGAAATAAATCGAAATTAGTTTCACTTCCGGGAAAAAAAATCAGATTTTTCCCGATTTGATCCATCCGATTTCCACCCTTAATATTTACAGGCATGATTGATTCCCAGATATGGTGTATTTTTTCCGACACCGATATGACAAATGAGCAACTCACATTTATTGACAGGCACTCAACACACAAACATACTCAATAATGGTGGTGGCAGTCCTCGTAATGACAATGATCGTCACTCCAGCAGCAATCTGGTTCCGCCCCGTCCAAAACACCATCCCCTACAAGCGCCGAACAGTGCAAAAGGCGAAATCGGACGAAGAGTTCCGAGTCCTAGCATGCATCTACAACACCCGAAACGTTCCCACCATAATCAACCTCCTCCGTACATCCAACTCCAGCCAGCGGTCCCCCATCAGCGTCTTCGCCCTCCAGCTAGTCGAGCTCGTGGGCCGGGCCTCCACCATGATGGTGGTCCACAACGCCCGCAAGGCGGGCCCACGCAACCCCAGCCACATCGAGGCTCAGGCTGACCAGATCATTACTGCCTTCGACAACTACGAGCTTCGGTCGGAAGGCGTCTACACGCAGGCGCTCACCGCCAGGTGTGCCTACACCACCATGGACGAGGACATATGCACCGTAGCCAAGGAGAAGAGGTCGGCACTCATAATTATCCCCTTCCACAAGCAACAAACCATAGACGGAGAAATGGAGGATATCAACCCTTCGATAAGGAGCGTGAACGAGGGCGTATTGGCCAACGCACCTTGCTCAGTAGGTATACTTATCGACAGAGGGTCTGCAGAGTCGCACGACCACGCGAGAAACATCGCCATGCTGTTCTTTGGTGGGCCCGACGACCGGGAGGCGCTGGCGTATGCGTGGCGGATGGCGGAGGATGCGAGCGACGTCCGCTTGACCGTGATGAGATTCATACCGAGCTCCGACGCGGTGGAGGTCAACAATGTTGACCAGAACGACGGCAACCACGTGTGCCTCCAAATCGATCTAGAGAGAGAGAAGCTTCTGGATGACGACTACCTCAGCAAGTTCAAGATAGCGACGATTAATAGTAAGTCGATAAGCTACTACGAGTTGGTGCTGAACGACGAGGAGGAAGCGGTGAAGGCTATAAAATCGATGGACGAGCACAACCACGATCTTTACATGGTGGGGAGGGGGAGAGGGATGGTGTCGCCGCTCACGTCGGGATTGGACGACTGGTGCGACTGCCCCGAGCTAGGGCCCATCGGTGATCTTTTGGTGACGTCACAGTTCGAGTCATCGTTTTCGGTGCTGATAGTGCAGCAGTACACGAAGGCGAACAAGATGAGGGAGGGGTCGATTAGGTCTACGAGCTCGGTGAATTACGCGGATGAGATTGTGATGAGGCCTTCGATAAGTGAGAGTGAAGGGTTTGAGTCTTTTGGCAGTTTCAGGAAGTGGGATAATGACAATTGAGTTGCAGTGCATGCTTTGTGTTTGCTTCTCTACCTGAAACAAGTTAAAACAGTGTATGCTATAAAAAGATTTGTTGATGCATTTTTTTTTAAAACAATCTGCTCAATTTTATTTTTTTTGCATATATATGAAATTCACCCAAAATCAAGAGGAACAATTAATCAATTGATACACCAAACGCAACAATCTTTTAGTTGTGGAGTCTACACATCCATTAAATCATTATAAAAAACAAAATCAAATGCAATTGATTCACATGTAGGCCCATTTGGGCCGGCTCATGTTAGCAT